CCCCTTTTGACACTTAAATTTTTTAAAAAAACCATCCCCGAAAAAAAGCAATATTCTTCCCCTTTAATTTTTAGTAGGGGGGTTTTTAAACCCCCGCAGAATCCCTCAGAAAACCAAAGTTTTGACCCCAATTCCCGAGATTTAATTAATACTAAAAATTTACCGAAAATGTTGACGAAATTTCACTATTTTTCTGCCCCAAAAAGTATAAATTTTCAATGTGAATGGAAAAAATGGGCCATGGGTTTTTTCAATAATATTCCTTCATCTCCCTTTAAAATTAAAATTTTATTTTTCAAACTATAATTTAGGAAACTGTTTTTTGAAGTGAAAAAAAAAATGGTTAATCCTAAATTTTACAATGACGTAAATGTGACGAAAATTTTTACATTTCCTTGACCCTAATTTTTTGAAAAGAACCATACCCCCGATTAGAAAATTCAAAAATTCTTCCCCGGAATTTATTGGGGGGGTTTTATTTTTTTCAGCAAAAATCAAAAAAACCCAGAGTCCCGAAAAATGCCTGAAGGGTTTTTTAAAATCACTAATTTACCCGAAATGTGGACGAAATTTTACTTTTTCCCCCTGCCCCCAACAGTAATAAAATTTCAATGGTGATTGAAAAATGGCAAATGGGTTTATTTTTTATATATTTCCCTGTATAAAAAAGGGCCCGTTTAATTGGGAAAAGAAAATCTACTAACTAATGCAAATTTGGGTGAATGTGGGAACGAAAATTTACATTTTCTTGCCCCCTATTTTTTTGAAGAATCCCTAACCTCCAATTAAGTTTTAATAATGTCCCACTTTTAAAATCACCCCCAAAAATTCCAAAATATAAATAAGTTTTTTTTGCCAACCCCGGGTCAAAAATAAGTTTGTAATATTTTTTTTTGTTGAAAGAAATTTTACAAAATTTTTTTAAAACCCGTTTTTTTCAGGTGGTTTTTAAAAATTAATCCAATGTTTAACCCTAATCAACCCGCCAATAATAAATTTTAAAATAAACCCGGCGTATGGTTATGAAAATATTGTATAAAAAATTGAAATTTCCCAAAATACGTAATAATAGGGTGTTTTAAGGTTGGTAAAAACTAAATATTTACTCAATTTTTTCCAAAAACATGTTTGAAATTATCAAAACAAATTTAATTTAAACCTAAATTTAAACCCATTTTCCCTGCCCTTCTGTAATTTGTAATTTGCCCCTATAAAAATTTAAATATGTGAACAATTCCAAAACACATTCAGCTCACAAAAAAAATGGTAGAACTAATTCCCGGCTTTCTTGTCAAAAGGGAAATGTCATAAAACAACCCCCATATAAATTTTCTTAAATGTTGGGTGACGGAGTTTTACATGGGTGGCTTTCCATTTAAAAAAAAAAGGGGCCCCAAAATATGGGAAGAATTAATAAAATCCCCAAAAATACCCGCTTTTTCTAAAGAATTGGAAAATTTTCCGAAAATTTTGGTCAAACAAAGGCAAAACAAGGGGTCCCCCCCTATAAAAAGCGTCCCCCCCACGTTTTTTTATAGTGTGACCAAAAGTTTTACAACTCACCCGCCCGGCCCGCCAAAATTTTGGCGATATTTTTCCGTTCCCCACCCTGAATAAAAAATATCGTTTATGCGAAAAAAAGTTTTATCTAAAAGGATGAAACGATTATCTTAAGGGTTTAAGGGGTTTATATAGTTTTCATAGGTGGAAACACATTTTTAACATCCATCGGTTTCCCCCCTTTCAGTAAAGGGTCCCCCCCCCCTAATATTTACCAATATCCCCCAAACTTCCAATGAACGTGTCCCCCCCCCTAAAATTAATTTTTTCATCCAAAAACTTGGCTTAAAAAACCATGGTAACGAAAAAATAGAAAATTCCCCTTGAGTCGGTGGACCTAAGTAGGTAAGGTTTTGGCCCACCCCTACTGAAAACTTTTACAAAAACCACAGAAAAATGAAATCCAGAATGTTCCAGAGGAAAGCCAATCGACCTCTTTTAATTTTTAAATAAAAATCCCACAAGCTAAAGAGGAACTGTCCTGCCCCACTGCCCAGTAAAAAAAGTAGAATAATTAATCCTAATATTACAAAAACAAATTGAAGGTTCGGATTTATCGTTATACTTTTGAAAAAATTTCCAAAAAAACAAATTTTAAAAAAAAGAAAAAGTTATTTAAGTGTTGAATCAAGAAACTTCATTTTTTCTTTAAATTAAAGAAGTTTTCCAAATTTTTTTGGCCTCAATTCCAGAAATGTGTGTGAAAGGCCCTATGTCCCCGTGTGAAAGCCAATTTTTTATTGCCCCTTTTTCTGTGTAAAAAAACTTACCGGCCTGCTAGTTTTTAATCCCAGGGTTAATGAAAATTAACGGGGCCCTAATTCTCCCAGGCTTTCCATCAGCCCAAAATTTTTTTTTCCCTTTAAACATTTTAAACCAATTCCCTCCTCTGACTTTCCTGGTAAATTCCTCTTCCCCCCAAAAAGTTTCAATGGTTTTTCAAACAGAAGACATTCCCCTTTAATTCTCCTTATTTTCCCCTCAGGTTTTTTCCCCCCCCAAATTTAGGATTAAATTTAACAACAATACCTTTGTTCAACGAAACTCCAAGCTCAACTAGTTACCCCCTCCCCCCCGATCCCCGAAAAGGAGGAAGTGGTTCAAATGGAGGAGGCCTCTGAAAACCCGGGTCCCCCCCAAAACGGGGCTCCCCCGTCGTGGGTTCTAGGGGACTCCTGGTAGGAATTTTCCCCAACGTCCCCCTTTCTCCCCCGGCGTCCCCACCTTTGGCCTAAGGGAAAATGAAAACGTCCCTGGGGATTGGGTTAAAAAGGTTTCATTTTTTTTTGACTGATAACTATTTAAGGTTTGGGAAATTTATTGACTTAATGAACAAACCCCGGGCGGGGGAAGTGGTTTTTTTTTCCTTTACTTTCAGAATTAATTAAAAACACAGCGACGTAACCTTTTGAGATCCTGTGCAACGTGCTCTCTCTATAAATCCACTGTAAAGATGTAAAATATAACCCCCGGTTTCCAATCCAGAACTGGGGATTGAGAACAGAGAGAAGGATCCCAAAAGCGAAGACGAACAGGATGAAAGGTTTAGAATCAGCTCTGACAGCAGCACTGCCCCCCAACTAGAAAGAGAGAGCAAGTACGATGAGTTCATGGGAATCCATTGAGGAGGTCATCCTACACGAGGATTTTGGTGAGTTGTTTGCTTTTTTGTAGGAATTTTTGGTAGGATTTTAGTAGGATTTAGGACTGCCCAAGATGGGAAAAAACAATTGAGGAGGTCCAATCCTACACGAGGATTTGGTTAGGTTTTGCTTTTTAATAGGAATTTTTGTAGAATTTAGTACTGCCCAAGAAATAATAGAGGACTGTTTTTATTATTGGGAAAAGGTCCCACAGGATTTGTAAAAATGTCATACAGGGTGGCCCCAAAAAAAGTAACTGCAACCCTTTAATAACTCACGTAATTCCTTCCTTAAGAATTGCCACTGAAATTTTTTTGAGATTAATAGAATATGGGGTCCAAACTTAGATTTCCGGAAAATTTTCCTTCAAATTTAATTAATTACAGTGTGGGGGTGGGCAACGCCCCAAATCCCTCTTTTTCACTATTGTCACCATAAAAGGTGAACAATGCTTTCAGCTAGGAAAACTTCAAAGTTTCTAGACATGTTTTGGTTTGATAAATTGAAGTGGCTTTCCCAAAAATTTTCAAGTTTGATTGTTTTACAATTTTAAACCGAGTTACGACCCCTTTTAAGATATTGCAGATTACTTTGATCTTGGCACTTAATCAGTTTTGTTGTCCGCGGTTTAAAATCGGTTTTGAAAACTGGTTTTGCATTATTTAAATTACGTAAACCTTCTGGCTTATGTTAGCTCGTTGCTGTGGTATAATAATACCAAAATACAGACAGGCAAAGAACCAAAAGCGGAAATCATGGTTTTTGGTAAATTATCATTACTGACTTCGTGAATTCTCGATATGAGTGAAAAATTGGTACAAGGTGCTGTGTTCGAGTCACGCGCCTGTAGTTTCGTCGACACGCACATAAGTTCGACAGGGTGATTACTGGCGAACTTCAATGTGTTGGCAATTATTGGAGTAGATTTATTTATGTAGACGCTGTCACGTCAGTTCCTGTTAATATAAAACTCCGTTACAAATTGAACTGGGATCTGGTAATACTACTGTTATATCACTGTATAGTGTATCAGTATAATATATGTTGGTTTATATCCACCTTGGGAACAGTCACCATCTGTTATGTTAAACGGTTTGAACTTATCCAAGGCTATATACCGCATCCTAGTTTGAACTGAACGCTTATCACAATTTTAATTTGGGTTCAAATACGATTCAACTGCAGATTGGTCTGCACGGAGCCTCCCAGGTCCAATTTCCTTTCAAACTGACCGTTCAGTAAGGATACCCACTGGATTCACCAGGATTGGTGTATTTTCAACACTTGTAGTGTTATACTAGAGTAACAGAGGAATTTAAACAATCAAACTAGACAATTCCTTGCATATACTGAGATCAAACTATCGATTTACAGGCTGTCGTCAGTAAATAGTATTACACACTTGCAGTAACTACATAAAATGGTTGCTGGCATACCTTCAATGTCTGGTGTTGCGCACGTTGGCTCGCCTTTATGTGTGGGCTTTGAAGAAGACACATCGTAAAAGAATAAGATAGTCTCTTCTATCTATACAAGTACATTTTACAGCATATATACAAGTACATTTTCTGAGGAGCCGCCATAATGATATTATTAATATTAGTGAATCTTTTAAACGATCTAAAATGGTAGGTTGGGTTGAAACCAGCCATTCCGCTATTGAGTATTGAGTATCGGCCAAATTATTTTCCCGGTTTTCTAGCTATCAAAATTAAAATAAGTTTCCGAGCCTGCTTTGACCATGCTCAATATAATATTGGTGGTAATGATGATTAAAATAGTTGAACTGAGAATGTGTACTGATTACACCAGGCTACTTTCATCACTACTTCGTTGTAATTATTGGGTAGTAATTGGGGAATTAGTAAATAGTACTACTTCTGCTAAAAACGGCCGTCTGGTCTCATATCCTGGAGAATTCTAGGGATTTATTTGTTACTGCTACTTTTACTATTGCTCATTTGTATTTATATTGTACTGTGTCGTGTCACATTACCAGCGTTACCAGAGTTATTACTAGACGAGGGCCCTAGACGATTATTTGTTTTAGTTAGGACCATAAAAAGATAAAATAAATAACAAACAATGCAATTATCATAGTCTACCTTGGTCATAACGACCGTCCAATACTGAAACCTTCTTTATGTACTAACCATGTTAACATATTATTAACATAAATTATTTACTTTATTTAATTAAGGGTGTCAGTCATCCGTGCGGTATCGCAATTATCATTGACATTATTGCTTTACATTAATACACGAGAAGTTCGACCCATCTTACCCTTCTTCCTGTTCAGGTGACAATATGGAAGTGCGGAAAAGGAACCGCACTTGACACCACAATCCTACAAGGTCTTATTAAAAGTATCGCAAACCACAAAAATTCTGGTGAACCTGAAGAAGAGCCTGATAATAGCGCGGGTAAGATTTGTAATTTTCAATACGTTTTTAATGTTTTAATTTGTATTTTATTCATTGCCATAACATAATCATGATGTTGGTGAAATTCTTGGGAATGTTTCACAGATTAAAAATTTATTTATAAACCTGATTTAAACAGAATCGACCTGGGTTATAAAAATTCAAAAAGTAAACTGTGCGACACATCCCAACACTTAATAAAGGTCGAAAAACTGTACACTTACTTTGTAATAATTAACACAATTACAATATTTAACACAATCGCAGAAGGACAAGCTCAGCGGGAACAAACTCAGCGGACACGAGCTAAGGAACTTATGAAAAGACAACTTGAACTAGCTATACAGTGGGATCGTTTAGATATTGCTACAGAATTTATTTTTGAGAACAAGTCAAACAATATGGATCTACATCTGACGGTTAATTTACACTCTCATTATTATTTACCGCGCTGAGTTGTACTTTTCGTATATAAGGTACCGAAAAAATTTAAATGTTTTCACAACTAAACTTCCCTGTCCTCGACCTAGTTGGGCCGTCCGGCGCGTCCGCACCCGAACTGCCACCCTCAATGTACCCCCCCCCCCCCCCCCCCCCCCCCCCCCCCCCCCCCCCGGCCCCCCACTCATTAAAACCCACCTCTCCTCAGGAAAGCGAGCTGAACGAGATGTTAAACCTGGCCATCAAACACAAGCAGATCCGCTTTATCCGCAACATAATAGAACGTAATGCCAACATCAGCTCCTTCCTGACAGTGGACAGATTTGAAACTATTCTCCGGAAAACACGCCCACTAATTCCTTGTTCTACGAGCTGATGAAGAAAAAGTGCCCCAGTGTGGAGCACTGGACGTTCGAACACTTCGAAATGGTAAGATACCAAGTTTGTGTTTCTTACATTCATGCAACTTTTTCTAATTCATCACACAATTTCGTCCAGCCTCTCTCCTCCAAGTTTAACTACAAGTTTAATTCTGAGCAGAAAATTATAAACCTGGAGAATCTGCACATGTACCATACATTTATGGAACTATTCAAAATTCTTAAATTTGATGTCCCCCAGTCGATTAAAGATCTTTTCAAGTTCTGTCCTAGAAATGAAAAACTTCGTTTGATTGTCCTATTACTGAGGTTACATATCTCCTAACAGAACGTTTTGTACACCTCTACGAAAATTTGGAATGACCTCAGCCCCTATGTATTCCAAATATGTGATGCTAATGAAGATGGGATAATAATCCCGGGTTCTTCCAAAAATTCAGACTTATCAGCCTCGTCAGGTTTTATTAAATCTAACCTTAAAAAGCACTTGCTATCCCTCCAAAATCGAGATGACCCTAATACATGGTAACTAATCTATATTATATCTCAAATTCTACATCCGGTACGGCTCTGCACACATGATATCTCTCTCTGCCATGAAACATGGCTAACCTATTAAACTATGATTTAAAACCTAAACTAAAACTCAACTGGGCTCTCCTGTGTCACCAAACTAGACCAATAAGTAATTTTAGATTATTATATATTTTTCTATACTTGTATAATAAGTATATTGACGTAGTGGATGGTTGAGGGGGTTTCAAGCACAGGTCACTCTCAAATCCTAAAGATAAGCAGAAACCTCTTCAAACCTCCCCTGATTTATTTATTATTGATATTGTTTGATTGTGCCGTAAAAATAAATATTTGTTTTATTATAAATATTTGTTTTATTATACACCTCTTTCTACTTCTCAGGTGATTCATGACATAAGTGAAGGAGTATTCAGGGTTCCCGGTAGGACCCGTGCACCGGAGCACCAGGTAGACCCTTCTGATAACGGATTCAGTCTACAAAGCATCAAAATCTGCGGTAATAGTAAAAGGAATGGGGGAGCTGCGAACTATGCGCACGTAGACAACATGACTGGAGACGGTCGGAAGTCTAAGTTTGATTTTATGGATCCGGGCAGTCTGCTGACTGTTTACATGGTCCTGATCCACGAGCAGGAACTTGCCAAGGTCATCTGGGAGTACTCCTCCACGCCCCTCTTTTTAGGCCTCGTCTGCACCTGTATCAACAACTGGTTGAGTGCTCAGCAAAAAGAGACCCTCCTCATATCCGATGCTATGGGCCAGCAGCTTGAGGAGTACGGAAACGAGTTCGAGGAGATATCTGAGAAGGTTCTGGAAGAGGTTGCGGAGTATCAGACCGAGCACGTCATCGCTTTGATTAACTTCAAGTTTGTGAGTTGGGGTGGCAGAACTATTCTGGAGATGGCTGACTACGTGAACGCCGTCAATATCATCGCTCACCCGACTATTCAGGATTACATTGATATTGAATGGAACGGATGGCTGGATAGCGACATGTCCACGCTGAGGATGATTGTGTCCATATTATGTCCTCTTTTAGCTTCTTTCCGAGATGTTACTCCGTTTGACAAGTGGAAGCAGAAAAACCTCCAGAGCAAAAAGCAGAAAGTGAGGGATAGTCGAGAGGCGTTCATTGATCGGGGAATCGGCCAGGACGATTCTGAGGCTTGTGAGAAACTGGGTATCCTGACAAAGTGTCGGTATTTCTACAAGGCACCCATCACCAAGTTTACCATTTATTCCATTGTTAATGGATTCTTCTTGATGTCCTATGTTTTCGCGCTGCTTTTAGCAGATCGGCAATCGACTAGTGCCGAAAAGTGTGGTGGTTTTCGCTCGATTTTCAATTGCAAGCTCACCATGGCTCAGCAGTTTGTTTACATATGGGTTCTGTGTTTGGTGCCCCTGGAAATGAGGCAGATCTACTTTTCCTACCCCACCACACTATGGGGGAAGCTGAAGATGTATTGGGGAAATATTTACAACAAGAACGACATTGTTTGCATCATCCTTATTTTGTTGGCTCTGTACTTTAGAATGAAAGGAGATAGCGATACGATAACTTGGGATGGAAACCATTTCAGACTGCTGTTTTCGTTAGCCTTTATAATGTACTGTTTGAAGCTGTGTCAGGCTCTGCAAATAAGCGAGCAGCTGGGTCCCAAGGTAAAAACTATTTCTTAAATCTTGTTTCGCCTCACTCCACGCTGTTCCCCTCAGCCGTCATCATTTAATTGAATCACGTTAACCACCACCTACTGCCTACAATTCCTATGACCATTATATTTTTTTCAAAAAAGGTATTGGATAGTGAATTATTTTACCAATCTCCTTCTCTCCAGGTGATGATGATGCAGAGGATGTTGATCGATCTCCAGTTCTTCATATTCCTTGTTGTCATCTTCGTCATTGGATACGGTGTCAGCACCGCTTCTATCATGACCCCACAGAAATTCCCTAAACTGGAAAGAAAATTGGTAAAATGATAGAATTGACACTTGATTTATCATGATAACGTTTTTTGTGACTATTAGTTTCAAATTTGTGATCTCCCTCCCTCCCTCCCTCCCTCCCTCCCTCCCTCCCTCCCTCCCTCCCTCCCTCCCTCCCTCCCTCCCTCCCTCCCTCCCTCCCTCCCTCCCTCCCTCCCCTCCCACCCTCCCTCCCTCCAGCTCCCTCTATCTTTCTCACGCTCTCTCTCTCTCTCGTTTAGATGTTTGACATCTTCTGGAGGCCCTACACTAACTTGTTCGGTGAGATAGGCGAGGAGACAATAGACGAAGTCATGAACTATGAATACTGCCAGTACTTCAAAGCAGGAACCGAGGATAATGGTCAATGCTCCGACTACTCTTGTGACGACGAAGAGAATACCATGTGTGTATTCAACATTTACATAGTAAAGATAATGCTCGGTCTCTACATGATGTTGGCTGCTGTCCTCATGTTGAACTTGCTGGTGGCTGGTATGTTTATCCTTTGTGTTTCTTAACCTTTTTTAGAAAATTATCATGAAGCTTCCGTGTCATGGGAATGTAAGATCTCACATGTATGATCAATAATATAAAACATGTGTGTTCCGTCAGTTGTTTTCAAGCACATACGAGGAGATTCAAGAGAATTCTAAGACGCTCTGGAAGCGCCAGAAGTTTGACCTGATGGTTGAGTATCGGAGTAGATCACCTCTGCCCGTTCCTTTCAGTACCATCCTGCATTTCCGCAAAGGTTTGTTTTTTTAAATTTTAAAATTATTTTTTTTGCCCCCAAAAATTTTTGGGAAAAAATTTTTTTTATTTTTAAGCAATTTCCATATGGAAAAAAGGGAAAACACATTTTAAAAAGGGAAACTGGTTTTTGAAAAAGGCCTTTTAAAATTTTTTCTTTAAATCGAAACCCCCGGGAAAAAGAAAAAAAAAGGGGGAAATTTTTATTTTCTCCTTTTCCCTAAAAAAAAAATTCTTAAAATTTTTTGCCTTAAAAGGAACCCCCCTTTTTAAGTTTTAAACCTTTTTTCTTGGTTCTGGGCTTTTTAGCCAAAATCCCCCAAGGTTTTCCCCAAAAAAGTTTGGTAACAAGAAAAACATGTGGGAAAAGGTTTTTTAGTGGGGGGCCGTGCAGAAAGACCCCCCCTGAAATTTACCCCCCCTGTTAAAACCCCTCCCCCCCAAGGGGGAACCCCCCCCCCCCTCGAGTTTGAGTGTAAAAAAAAACCCAAACCCTTTTTTAAAAACTTTAAAAATTTTTTACGGAAACCAAAAAAGTCCCCTTTCCAAACGGAGATTTTAAAAATTGTCCCGGTGAAGTTTTAGACCATTGAGAAAAAGTTTTTTTTGGGAGACCTTCGAGAGCAAGAAAACAGCAAAGGGGTTTTTAAAGTGGGGGACCCAAAAAACCAAACGAAAACAAGGAAAAACCCTGCCCGCAGCAAATGCGTTTAAAAAATGAGGTTTGGTTTTTTCCCCGGGGAAAGAAACCTTTTTTCCCTTTTTAAAAAATTTGAGATTTTTTAATTTGTCCCGACAAAACCCCTTTAAAAGGCCCTTAAAAAAACCAAATTTTTTTAAAAAACCCCCACCCCTTTTTTTTCCCCAAGGGTAGTTTACGACGGACCCCAAGGGCTGGTTGGAAAAAAATAAAATCCCCCGGGGATTAAAAACGTTGAAGCCCCCGGGCCCCCCCCCCCTTGTCCCCCCAATAAAGGGGCCCCCCGGCTTTCCCCCGGGGGCAAAAAAAGGGGGGAAAAACCCCCCCGAGTAAAAAGTTTTAAACCGGTTTTTATACCCCGAGGTTGGTTTTAAAAAATGGGGGCAAAACAAACCCGAAAAACCGAATAAACCCCGGGGAAAAGGTAAAATATTTAAAAAGGTTAAATTTTCCTTTTTTTTTTTTACCTAGAAAAGTTTAAAAATTTATCAAAAAGGGAAAACCCAAAAAGGTAACCCTTTTTTGGGGGTTTTCCCCTTTTTTCCCCAAACCCCCTTTTTTAAAATTTGGGGAAAAAGTTTTTCAATCCCCAAAATTGGGCCCCCCCTTTTGAAAGAGGCCTTTCGTAAAAAAAAGGGTACCTGGATTGGGGAAAAAGATCTGGATCCCCCCAAAGAAACCCCTTCCCCCCTACACCCCGAAGGGCAAACAGCCCCCAGACGAAAGTGGGGGGGGAAAAAAAGGGGGGCACAAAAAACGTGGGGGGGGGATGAGAAAAAGGAGTTATGGGGGACGGGTTTCGAGTTTTGGAAAAACCCGGGTGCCCCCTCCCTTCCCTTTCGGACGAACTGGGGTTTGGTTTTTCCCAAATTTTCCCCTGGGGTTCCCCCCCGTATTATTTAAAAAAAAAAACCCCTTTTTTTGTTCCCCTTTTAAAATTTTAAATTTTGGGAAAACTGCCCCCTTTAGTTTATAATGTCCCATCCCAAAAGTATAAGTTAAAAAACCTGTTTTATGTTCCCCGGGCTGTAAATCCCCCCGTGCTAATTTGTCCCCCTTTCCCAAAACCCCCCCTTTTTTTCCCCGGTCCCCAAAAGGTGAGGTTTAAAATGGGAAAAAAATAAAGGCCCAACCCCCCTGGGTTTCCCCTCAAAAAACGCCCCTAGCTAAAAAGGGTTTAGAAAGGAGCGGAATTTTTTGATCGCTTTCTTTTTGGAAAAAAAAACCCCGCCCCTTCCCCAGGGGCCCCCGTTGGGGTTTTAAAAGGGAAAAAATTAAAATCCCCCGTCCCCCAAAAATAAAAAAGGAAAAAAACGTTGGAAAAAACCACTCCCCCCTGAGGGAATTTTCATTTCCTTTTTTGCTTTTGGTTTTTTTTTGGATCAAAGTTTGGTAAAAATTTTTTAAGGTTTTTAGCAACCAATCCCAACCCTTTTAAAAACTCTTACTTTTTTATGTTTTAAAAACCCAAAATTGGGCTTTTCGAACCCAACCCCTTCGGAAACCCCCCAAGAGCAAACCCCGCACCATCAGAAGAAAACCCAAAACCGCGAAAAAAAATCGTCAAAACCCAAAATTTGAAAAAATTTTTTCAAAAACAGGAAAAATTTTAATTTAAAAGAGGGTTTTTTGGACCCAAACCCAAAAAACAAAAAACTTGCAAAACTGGTTTTTAAAGCTAAAAAACGTCCCCTATCAAAGCAACCCAAACAAAAAACCCTTTCCCTTAATGTTAAAAGGGTTTGCCCCAGGAAATTAAAAGTACAGGGTTAAAAAGGGGGGAAAAAAAGCGGGGCCCTTTTTTAAACTCCCCTTTTCCAACTGGTTTAAAGGGGGTTTTTTATTAAAACAAAAAAATTTTAAAGTCTGAAAATTTTAAAATTTTTTAATTTTCCCGGGCGCCCCTTAGTACCCCAAAACCCTTTTTTTCCCCACCACAGGTGGAGTAGGAAACAAACCCAACCTTTTCGAGCATTGCCCCAAAAAGTACCGGGAACCCCGTCCCCCCCCAGAAGGCGTTTTTTTCGGGAAAAGGGAAAAGGGAAAAACGTTTTTAAAAAACACCGCCCCCTTTCCGGCCCCCCCCCTGTTTTACAAAAAAGTACGGCCCAAAATATTTTTCCCCCAGTTAAATTTTTTCCCGGGGTTTTTTTTTTTATCGGAATTGGATTTTGTTAACCCCCCAAACGGGGTTTTCTGAAACAAAAAATGAAGACACGGCCCCCCCAATTTTTAAATTTTAATTGGAAACACGTTTTTTTTTCGATTTTGAAAAACCCCCAATCGGGAAAAAGCCGGGAAAACCCTTTGGAAACCCCCTATTTCTACTTTTTCGACCCCGGGCTTTTTTAAAAAAAGGGGTTTTTTCCATTAAATTTTAAAAATTTTGGCTAAAGTTTTACTAATTTTAAAATTTTGATACAAAAAAAGGCCTGAAAATTTTTTTAAAATTGGGGTAATTCCCCCCCCCGTTTTTTTTTTTAAAAATTTTTGTTTAAAAAAAAGAGAAAAAAAGGTTAAAAGAGAAATAAAAGTTTTAATTTTTTTGGCTTAAAAATTTTTTTTAAACAATTGTTTTCGAAAAGGTTTCAATTTTTTAAAAATTTTCCCGTTTTTTTTTTTTTTAGCCCTTTAAGGGTTTAAAATTATGTCGGGGGAAATTTCCCCCCCCAAAATTGTAAAAAAAAATTTTCCCCAAAAAACCGGGGTTTTGGGAAACCCCGTTTTTTAAAACCTCTACTTGGACGATTTCCCCATCAAAATTTTTTTGGTAAGGAAAGGGGGGAATGTTAATTTTTTTTTTTTTTTGGGCCGGAAAAAAATATTTTTTTTTTAACATGGAAAAAACCGAAAAAAAGGGAAATCTTAAAAATTTAAAAGTTTTTTTCGGGGGAGTTAAAAAGTATTAAATATTCAAAACCCAAACCCATCCAAACCCCATTTTTCTTAAAAAATTTGTTTTGGGAATTTGGGAAACCCCGTTCCCTTGGTTGGGAAAATTTTTTTTCGACCCTTTTTGTTTTTTTCCCTGGCCCCAAAAAGAAACAATTTACTGGTTTAAAAAAACGGCCCGGGACAGTTTTCCCCTTTAAAACCCCAGTCCCCCCCAAACAAACGGGCCCCAAAAAAAAACAACCCCTTTTTAGAAACAATTTTCCCTAACCCAAAAAACCCCAAAAGCCAAAAAGGGTTTTTTTCTTCCACACGCTGGCAACCCCTTTTTTTTTTTCGGCCCGGGCCGGGGTGGCCCCTTTTGCGTTTCACGAGGGAAGGGGATTTTTTACAAAAGTGGGTTTTTTTTAGCCAAAGCCTTTCGCCCCTAGTTTTACTAAAACGCTTTGCCCAAAATTTTTTAAAAAAAATTCTTTTGGGAAAAGGGCCCCCCTTTTTGGTTTTGAAAAAATTGGAAAATTTTCCCCAAACCCGGGGTATTTTTTTTTGGACCTTTTGAAAAAAATTTCCCAAAAAACACCCCAAAAATAAAAGAACCCTGGGGTAAAAAAAACCCCCTGGAGAGTCCCCCCGGGGGAAAAACCGTTTTTTTTTTTACGTGGGGCAGGCCTTGGGAAAAATTTTAAAAAAAAATTTTTCCCATTGTTTTTAATTTTTGGGTTAGGGTTTTTTGGTACTGGTCGGTAAGGGGTTATGGAAAAAGTTTTGGGGTTTTTTGGTTAGACTTAGGTTGGGGGAAATTTGGGGTTTTTTGTTAAAAAAATGTTTTTTTTAAAGGGGGCAAAAAACCCTTAAAAAAAACCCCCAAAATTTACGGAAATTTGTGGGGTTTTAAAAAAACAAAGGGGGTTTTTTTCCAATTTAACCTACTTTGGGCCCCAAAAAATTTCCCTTCGAAAAAAGAAAGTAAAAGCGCGATTTTTTTTCCCCCGAAAAAAATTTTTCCCCGGGGTTGAAAGGTGCAAAACTTTTAAAATGGGGAATTCCCCCGTGGGGACGGCCCCCCTTAACTGGGGGAAATAAAACGCGGGGCCCCCGGAATTTTAAGGGAAATAATTTTGGGCAAATCCTTTATTTTAAAAAATTTAACAACTTTTAAAATTTTGAGAAAAAAACCCGTTTTATAGCTCCCTTTGAGGAAAGAGAGGGTTTTAAAAAAAATAAATATGCAGTAAAAAAAAGCAAAAAATTTTGATTTTAAAATTTGGAAAACCCGTTCCCCTTTAAAAAGGGCCCCTTTCTTTACTACCTTAAAAAAGGGGTTTTTTTTTAGTTTTTTTAAATTGGGAAAATTTTTTATTAATTTTTTTTTAAAATTGGGTTAAATTTTTTTATTTTAAAGGGGGTAA